CAAATGATGGAGCAAAGATAAAAATTCTACAATAATTGGTTTTATTGTTAAACAAAAATGTCTGAATTTTTTTTAGGCATAATATACACTTAAAAAATGCACTATCTCGATAAAAAATTGCGACATTGCAAAATATTCTAGGCAAGCATTCCTGCAGAGATTCCGTTACATCGCTAAAATTGCCATAAGAATGCTATATTGGCAATACCATGAACACACGTTTTCCCCATGTAAGCAACCATTCCGCTTTATCAGTCATTTTCTTTTAATTTTTATTAATCTTCCATTTCTTTTATATTTTTTATTTTTCCTTATCATTTCAACACTGACTTTTTATTCAGGAATTTAGATTTTATTTTAATTTCTAGTTATAAATAGGTGAAATTAGCTTAATAACAAAAGATAATTTCAATCATTATCACAATGAAATTTTATATCAACCAGCAATTTGGATAACTGATGCGATATTAAAATTCAATAACATTCTTCTGAAAGCAGTATTCCTTTTATAAAATACTTAACAAAATAATGCATTAGTATCAACGGTGCAGCTTTGGTGCTTTTTTTTGAAAATTATTCTTTTCCAACACCAAAATGACCCGTTTAACTATTCATTCGTATACATATGTCCCGTTTACTGCTCATCATAAAGTCGCCAAAGTAGCTAAATCCCTTGTGCACCGGAAACTAGATTAAACCAAATAAGGCATTACTATCAACAGCACTTTTTTTTCTTTTAAATCGCTAACACTTTGTATATGTCTCGTTGCTGCTCATCATAAAGTCGCCAAATCTCTTGTGCATAGGATTAAACCAAATACTTAATTGTCTATTGAAGCTTCAAAACGTATTTCCGAACTTCAATTTCTGCACTTTTTCTCGGCTAGCATTACCGAATTTGCCCTTGGCGACCTCGAAAATCGAAATGGAGCCAACAGATTTCCCGCAAAATCGATAACAGACAAGCTCTACAGAAATAAACTCATGATAATCCCGATATCCCATACATATATATGTGCAAAAGAGAGATAAACTCCGCAGTAAGGTGATATCAAAAATTAATTTATGGCTTAATTCAAACAAACACAGAAATTAAGGCTAAGCAAAACCGCATGTAAAAACAAATTGAAATGATAAAACGAAACTTAGCTTTAATGTGAATTTTCAGCGCTGACTCTCCCATTCTAGAAATTTCAATTTGTTTCAGACAAAGACCACATTTAGCTTTATAAGGATTGTCATCCATCATCATTATATCCTTGATGCCGAAATCGCGAATAATTATTTATTGTATTTTGCTTTCATAACCGCATGTTTATCAACGGATGACAACTTGAGTGATGAATCAAGCAGCGACGTTAAATAACAGAGTATTATCTGATTACGGATTTAAGTTTAATGCGCTAAAATGTTGACAAGGGGAGATTTAGCAGAAATTTCTTTCCTTATGCTAAAAATATAATTTGTTAATGATACTCATAGGACAAACGATTATATTTAGTGCTATTTGAATTAAGAATAACTGATTTGTTATTCACATAAAGCCAGAACCAGCGCCAGATCTGGCATGGCCGCACCAGGCGGCAGAATTTAGCGAAGTTAAACAGAAGTTTTTCATTGCGATGACAATGACCAATCATCAATCAACGAAGGGCGAAATCTATAGTATGGTTCTAAATCCAGAAAATACAGCTACCGATAGTGAAGAAAGTAACAGAGAGGTTACTGAACGAGAAAAAATTTTGATTGACAAGTTATTCGGAATTCTCGACACAGCAATTACAGGACTTGAACAACGGAACTTAGTAACTGAACAAGAAATTATATGTCTATAGTATTAGTCTAAAGTATTAGCAGAGAAAACAAATCAAACAACTCACATTAAAAGAAATGTTTAATAAAGTAAACATATAAATATTAAGCTTTAAGCTCTTTTCTTTTGTAAATTTTGATACCCTTTAAATCATAAATGCTTCATTTCATAAATCACGATTTCATATTTTCAATTTTATAATTTCTACGTGCCATCTTAGTAGATTTAAAATGATCTAATATCCGGAAAAATCTCAAATCTGGGATCGCCGAAGTCCCGACGAGTCCAGACCTCGGACTTTGTACATTTTCAGTTAAACTTCTACCCAATAACTTTAGTAATTCATGAAAGTTAATTTTGCATCTAGTTAATTCAGGAATATTAGTTTCAATTAGTTGTTTTCAGCTTTAAAAATATTAAAAAATTTTTTAATTAGTTAGTTATTTTCAACTAATAATTGTATCACCATTAGCAAAAATTATGCATTACTATCAACAACATAGATTTAAATCAAATACTTAATTGTCTATTGAAGCTTCTAAACGTATTTCCGAACTTCACTTCACTTTTTTTTTCGGCTAGCGTTACCGAATTTGCCCTTGGCGACCTCAAAATTCGAAATGGTAGCCAACAGATTTTACGCGAAAATTCGATAACAGACCCTCTGCAGAAATAAACTCAGAATCCTGATATCCCATACATATAGTACGTGCAAAAGACAATAAACTCTGTAGAAGGTAATCAAAAATTAATTTATGGCTTAAATTGAAACAAACACAGAAGTTAAGCTAAAGCAAAACCATGTAAAAACACAAATTGAAATGATAAAATGAAACTTACTTTTCATGTGAATTTTCAGCACTGACTCTCCCATTCTAGAAAAATTTCAATTTGTTTGAGACAAAGACCACATTTAGTTTTATAAGGATTATCATCCATCAATATCCAGTCTTTCTAGTCATCTTGATGAAGACACAGTTTATTGAAAATGCACTTTCCAGGCATCTCATTCCTATTGATGTTGGAAGTGGTTGTGGCCTTCCAGGTTACGATTGTTCTAATTTTGGCAAATATTTTCAGAATCCCCCCTCTTTTTTTTTTTCGAGCACCTTCATCATCACTTTCGCCTCTTAAAGAACTTCCGGCTCACGCTTTCGTCACAATCTGCCTAAATTTATGGATAACACCTGTTTCAAAAGATTGCGTGAATAGCCAATCAGACACCTGATACTTTCGTTCTACGGTGAGCTAATTTTTTTTTTTTTTTTTTTTTTTTTTTTTTTTTTTTTTTTTTTTTTTTTTTTTTTTTTTTTTTTTTTTTTTTTTTTTTTTTTTTTTTTTTTTTTGTTTTTTTTTTTTTTGTTTTTTTTTTTTTTTTTTTTTTTTTTTTTTTTTTTTTTTTTTTTTTTTTTTTTTTTTTTTTTTTTTTTTTTTTTTTTTTTTTTTTTTTTTTTTTTTTTTTTTTTTTTTTTTTTTTTTTTTTTTTTTTTTTTTTTTCCCAATCGTTTGCAACGCAAATCCGCCAACAGATTGGTTAAGAGCCGTGCAATTTTAATTCCATATTCATGAGAAATTGCAATTCACATATAGAATGGCAATCATTAGAAATGATAAGAAATGTCAAATGAGCAAAATTAAGGACCATATATTCATTTTGGCCAAAATTAAGGACTTTTAAGGACCAAATATCATTTTTGAAAAAATTAAGGACTTTTAAGAACTGTATGAACCCTGCAAGAAACTGGATTCAATTTGACTGATAACAAAATCAAAATGCATTCAAATCTATATAAAATAATACTATATTATTTTGCATTAAGTATAGCATCAAATATGGCAGATGAGTTTAAACTCCAAAGTGCATTTTTCTATACGCAATTTAAATGTAATTATCATTTGCCAATTATCATTCAGTAAGCAGTATTCAAGCTCAAAACACTGAGCTTCTGTCTGAAATATCTTTGTATTTGCACCTCAGTGAATAAAGTTACAAAGTTTTTACTACACAGACTCTTCGTAGCAATTATGTTCTTTGAATATGACTATGTTCTAAAGGAATTTGAAATATTAATTAACATTTGTAACTAGTTAAAAAGCAGGAAAAATAGCATCAAATTTTTGTCAATGTGTATATATTAGTAAAGATACATACTAATATATATATACACACATACACACACACACACACACATATATATATATATAAGCTGGAGGAACTAGCAGTTAGAGATAGGAAGGATTTTTCAAGGTAACTAAAATAAATACTTTTCAAAACACAAATTCTGATTTTATACAATTCTCTATTTTTCTATATAATTTGCTTCTTGGTTTAAACATTTACTGTAATGAACATCAACTTTTTTTTTATGTTCATTATGATACAGAACTTTGCCACTAATTATGATACCCATTTATTAACGGTTATTTTCATTTCTTTATCAGTGTCTTCACATTTCTTAAATAATCTCACATTTTTTTAATTCACTGTCACTCACATATCTGCAGGGTGCTTGATTTTCTTAAACATTTTAACCTCACCACAAAGCATACATTTGGAAGTTGTGAATACAAGTGGTGCCAAATTCTGCGCGAAGAATGTTAGGAACTTGCACTCACACTCATTCTCATGCACACATGAAACCTCAAACAGTTTCTAGAATTTCTATTCACACATCTCACAATAATATAGAAACATTCTTGTTAAGAAGAAAACTTTTGTTTATACACAATGAGCTTTCAGTTGGTCTGGGGAAAAAATTAAGTACTTGAAAATAAATAGTTGTTTCTGCTTCAATTTAAAAGATATTCTCTGTTGTAGATCAGTTAAAATAAAAGAAACATAAGATGGTAAAATTTTCATGTTCTTCTAGTACAGAATTGTTATTCTTAAACAGATGCTGCAAGGACTTTACTGTTTGTTCACTCAAAAATGATACCAGATCTTAAAAATACATATATTTCAATAAAGATAAATAGCCAGAAATTTATATGTTTCAATGCGGATAAGTGTGAAGACATAACTTTGCCTTTTTATTAAGGTAGACTGACTGAAAATTAAAATGTATACTAATTAATCTTACTCATTCTCAAAAGCAGGGAGAAAGGGGAAAGAAATGCACACTAACTATCCAGGTATTAAAAAAATTAATTTATCAGCATATCAGATGGAAAATATTCAGCTACTTACCGATGAGGTTCAGGACTACTACATCGGGATCTCGACCTCGAATGATCACTCCGACTTTTCAGAGAGGATGAATGTTGACTTTTAGCAGAAGATGAGTAATGTGTATCTACACTATGAGAAGATCTACTGCTACTACTACTACGATCTCGAGAACGCACTGTTTTTTGTGGCAAAAAATATAAAGGAGTTATTTCATTAAAGTCTTTGATAGGTGAAGACAAATTATTTGTTTTGACATGTAGCCTTTTGCTATTTTGAGAAAGAAAAGATGCAGTCATATTCACATGTTCTGTTTTTGAATTTATACTATTATCTTTTCTCCCATTTGTGGTAAGAAATTCTGGACTTTTCAATGGAGGTGAAAGGCATTCTGATCTTAGTTCATCTAATTTCAACACCAAATCTGGAGTAGATACTTCAATACTTTCAAAACAATCATTTGAATCTTGTACAGAACATTCTTCACCTGATGAGACAGTTTCAGACACCCAAGCTTGCGATGAATCTATAAAAAAATAAATAATACAGGAAAGCTATAAAATATAATTAATATAGGAAAGCAAATTATAAAAATTCTGTATAATTTTGAAACTATAAATACACATCACTACTCAAATTATGAAAGAGCTTATTCATTAGAGTTTGTCATTCTCTGCATGTTACTACAGAGGGAAAAAATATTAAAAATAAGAGAAAGCTTTTAAATAATTTTTTGTAAAGCATTTAAACTGCTTGACAAAAGTACAATCTTTGACTCAATCAATCAATCCTCCAAGAGACCAAGTCACGTATTTTACATATATATACACACAAATATATGTTAAACAATATTTATCCTAATGCCTATTAAGTAAAGACATGGATTTGCAAGATGCAAAAGTGTATATTTATTAAAAAAATATTAGGAAAAATATTGCTGTGTGCCTATGTCTACAACCCTGGTATTTTGTGTCCATGTTATGCAGACACGGAACACCTTCTATACAGGGTGAATTTGAAAAAGTGGGCAAAACTTTATGGGCTGATAGAACACAGCTATACGAGCAATATTCGTCCTAGAATGTATTGTTGGAATGCAAGTGGCGAGTTTTCCACTGTCACATTTAAAGAATTAACAAAAGAATGAGATAAGATACTTCAGAAAACATTTTATTATCAGGAATGTAATTATGTACATGCTCAAAAGGCCTTCCACCAGCTGTAATGCAGGCTTCCCACCTGCAGGATAGGGACTAATGCACATTTGCGAAGACACCAGACATTTCCTGAGTACCACCAGCAACAATGGCGATCCTGGAGACTAGATCAATATTAATTTCAATGGTGCACTTGTACTTGTCATATGGCTCCACAGGATATGTCCAAATACAAGAGACACGGTAATCTTGGTGGTTAAGCTACGGAACCGCCTCGACCAATCCATCACCCTGGGAATTTTGCAGTTCGTATAAGCAACCATCCCCTTGGCAATCCATGATAGAAAATGCTGCTGGGTGTCACGGATGATACCATTTACAATGCGAGGTACAGCTTGCCATTTGTGTTTCACTCAAACTTTCTATGACGAATATTGCTGGTATAGCTGCATTCTATCACCTCGTACAGTTTTGCCCACATTTTCAGTTTCATCCTGTATATTTATCTATCTATATATACAGGTGTCTCATGTTTCGGTACCAGGATTACAGATTTGAAGAAAAAGCAGGACGCATGCAAGCAGAGCTTTAAAGTAATGCAGAAGTGCTTTCCTGATGCAATGGTTCAAATGCAGTGATGATGGTCTAAACATTCTCACAGGCAAGCTTCATTTTACACACTACTGCAGAGGTGCTAAGATGGATGACTATAAGAATGCACAGTTGGCCAATATGTACTTAGTAAACGGGGCCATTTAGACATTATATTTGGGTAGCTGTGGAATGGGCATGATGGTCCAGTACACTAGCCAGTTCAATCACCAAAACCTATCACGCCTGAAATTCTGGGACATAACAAAACATTTGTGTATGACATTGTTAACAGCACAAAGGAACTAGTTGCATCTATCACAGTACCTGAAATCTTTCAGAATATTTAAAATTCAACACATCAGAAATGTAAGATCTTCTAAGCATTACAGCTTATAGAAGATACTTCGATCATCTACTTGCTACTTCTGTGGATGTACATTTATTATTAAAATGCATATTCACTTATACAGAGTCCTTTCATTCGTGATGTTTTTCGTACACACTATCATCCGTTCATGTTCCTTCCAAACACATTGCTATGCAATTGTGAGTTGTATGGGTCTACTTCCAACAAGTTTGTTACCTTAGTACAGCGAGACACCTTGTCTATTGTCTACAAGTTTCTATATATATATCTGTTTTATGAATTTATATTTTTGGTACAATTCTTATTAATACTTTAGAATCCTCTTCACAAAGCTTTGTCTTAACTCAGCAATTACTCAGATTGCATGAGCTTTTCATCTGACAAGGATTATTTTAACTAACATTTTATTTTAATATTAATTCTTTCTTTTAACTTCTATTTCTTTCATCAGCCATTACCAGAATGCAAAATTAGTTTGAGTTTGAACAACAAGCCCATTTCCAGTTTACAAAGTGAGCTGCAGCAGCTTGCTTGAAAGCTGTTTATTTACTGAATTGTCTACTTGTATAGCAATCTAGTTCAGAGCGATTCTGAATTTGTTAGTGCATACTGCTAGAAGACACAGTAGATGAATCTATGCTCATTACACACTGAAGTTATTTGTTATATAGTACATATTGTATATAATATATGCATAATATATATATATATATATATATAATACATAAGAATTTGATTTCTAAATTGTCCTGAATAACAGTGGTTTTGTTAAATTTTTAATTGCATGACAAGATACTTTGTTAATATACCATTTAGTTCAATTTTATGACTCACCTGCGTTTCTGAAGTTTCAAACTTTTAGTTAAGCGAAAAGATACGAATTCATTGGAAACAAAGGAAATTAAAGAGGATGTAGCTTAATAATTAAAATGTCACAGGTTTTTTTTAGGAATACAGACATAATTCTGGAAAATATTGCTCTTGATGTATCAAAAAGTCCTACTGTCTTGCTAAGGCATTACAAAGATGAAACTGTTGTCCTCTTTTAAGTATTAGTTTTAAGTACCCATTTATGTTCTACAGCCTGAATTCTAACATCTCAAAAAATTTTAACTTCACACTCAATTGTTAATGACAAAATTTGAAATAATTTAAAGTTCCTTACTGGAAATGTGTATGATAGCTTGAAATCTGGAATGCAATATTTGCCAAATGTGTCAATTTCACCTTCCAAACATTATAATTTTGTAACATGTTTAGCATAAAATAGCACCACTAAGGCATACATTTAACATTAAAATTATTCTGGAGCAATGCTATATGAGATGTAAATACAAATACATATTATTTTTTTAACAAAATAAACCACCTTGTTTCCATAAAACCGGTGATTCCGTTATCAATTTAAAGCACAGAATTCACTCAAAATGTTATTTCTTTAAAAAGTTAGATCAGCTCGAGATAACAAATCAAAAACCTTAAAATCTTGATTATTCATTAATCATCATAACAATCAAAACACAGAACATTAATGAATAATCAGAAAGCAAAAATATCATACATCTGGATTTGCTGAAATTAACAATAAACTGCAGAATGACAAATAAAAAAGTAATTTGTTGTAAGAGTTTGGGAGGTCAAAGTTCTTAACAATGCTAACATTTTAGCCTTTGAAGTGCCGTAAGAGGCAAGTTCCAGGGACTAGCTTTTTACCATTTGCAGAATTAACTGGCCAGAATGTAATCTTAACTATATCCTTATTTTTAAATATAGTCATATTATAATCATTACACTTTTTTAGTTTCTTTTAATTATATTTATACTTTTATTTTTTCCCTTCAAAATTTCTTTTATATTTTATATAAGAAGAAATAAATAAAAAGTGACATCATAGATACTTCTACATGTAAATCATCCTAATGATAAACGACACCAAATAAAAATATTTCATATTGACTAAGATCACTCAAAGATCTACATTACAAAAGACCTACATTATTTCTATTACAAGTTTATGTAAGAAATCAGGAGAGAAAAGGTATGTTTTAATTAGGTGGGAGAATTAAAAGCAGAAATGTCATTTAGCATTTGTTTTATGCCATAACTGAACAAAAATGTGACTAACTATAAAATAGTATGCAAGTTTAGGGTACGTCTGGAGGCTGTTTGATTTCCTACAAAGTATTAAACTACAGGTGCTAGGGAGGAGGAAAATACCAATCAAACATATTCCAAGCCTTTCACATCAGTTATTAATAGCGAGGCAGGCAAATAGAGGAGTTGTAGCTGTGTTAACCCCAAAGAGTAAACTCTGTTCTATACCCTAGCAAGAGAAAGAGTAGCACAGACTTTATCCATCATCTATTTCTAAATATCTCAGCAGCTTAAACCACCAAGCAGCAACAGGTTTGGTCCCAGAATGAACTTAAGTTAGTGGTATTTTCTTGATTTTAATTCCAAAATCACCCTCCTACTACATTCCCTTTCTTCCATTTTATATACATATCCTACCTAAACTGTCTGAACACATTCCAAGATGCATGGTTATGGACTTACAGGTATCATGACAAATAATTTTGAGCATATGTATACAGCTTAGCCGCTTGGAGGGTTACTATATCGCTATCACAGTTATCATCCTGTAGCCTTTCAACAGACTCATTATCATCTAATTTAGGCACTTCATTTCTCTTTATTTAGGCTGTGAATTCATCGTATTGTTTTTACTGTTATTTTAGGTTTTTGATAATTTACTTGCTCTGCTTTTACAGAAGCTTATTATTTATTTATTTATTTTTGTGGACCTGGAAGAGATCAGAAATGTTTTCGATATAAATTAAGTATAAATGCTTCTTCACTTTACACAATTTTGGCTTACATCTGGTTTCACAGAAACATTTTACTTTTGCAAAATATGGGAAATCCATATTTAGCATGATGATACATCTATAAATTGTACTGCTGCAGATCCATCCAAAGATTAAAAGTTAAAATGAACTAAATCTTGGATTATAAATTAAATGCTTTTACTGAGAGAATTAATGCTTTCAAAATAGTGTAAACAACTCAACACACATAGCTTTAAATTTACAGTTCTATTACAAAATTTCCTACAAACAAATTACATAATTTATAAGAATAATATATCAGATACACATTTTACAAATTATGTCAATAAAAATATTAATTCTAATATATTCTAATGGTTCTATTTTAAAGTTACTTAAGTAATGGAAAAGAAAACTTTTAACCCTAGAATACTAACCCTTTACATGTAGTAAAGGGTATTTCCTGAAAGACAGGAAATATAACACATTTAATTACAACTGCATTTTAAATACAAAAGAACGTAGGTAGTATATCTGAGTGATATTGGAGATAATGTGCAGAGTTTAAAAGTTACGTGTGCATTTCGTTCTTGTGTGAGTAAAATTTACGCAGGCTAGCATTCTAGGGTTAATATTAAATTAAATACTTACTATGAATTGAAACTGTCTCAAGTTTTGAAATTTCATTTTTAACGTGACTATTATCCGGAGCTGTGCTAACAGTGCTATTCTGAAGTGGAATGTTCAAATAAACATTTGAAGAAAATGTATTAGCAGGAACAAAACCTGATGTAGATGGCAGTTTGTTAATAAAACTAGCATCCAAAGAATCAAGTACTTGAAAACTGTCTGCAGATGATGTAGGATTTCGTTGTTCACGTCCCTTTATTTTTGTATTACGGAAATGCTCTGCATCACGGTTGGTAACAAGTGGATCATCAAAATTCTCAAAAGTTGACTTAACTTGAGAAATTTCTACATATGAAGAATGAACAGCATTAACATTGTTTTGGTAAAAATCACTATGTTCATCCATAAAGTTAGCTGGTAAGTCAGTCAAAGTTTCAAAATTTTGATTATTGAACCAGTCATTATGATCACCATCATAGCATACAGAATCAGGTTTAGGAATAGAATTTTCCACATTAGAGAAGCTTTCCTCAGTTGAACTGATTTGAACTGATTTCTTGCTCTGAGAATTAGGGATGTCACTGCTCTTAACACTGTCACTTACTTGGCTTTTTGAGGTACAATTTTTATTACTTTTTAGTTTTCTATTTCTTTTCTGAGCATTTTCATGCTGCTTCATTAGCATTCGCAATGTACATTCTGAAACTTTGCCATTTTGGCCTCTCCTTCCCATTTTGACTTTATCAGCAATAGTGGGTGCATACAGAGAGGCAACTGGATCTGGAACAGTTAGTTTTATTTTAAGTTTTGGTATTGGCATATTATCATTCTCTGGAGGAAGATTCACTGGTTCTGATACAGGGTGAGCAAATTCTTCTTTTTTGGATACAGAAGAAAGAATTGGAGATACACTAACACTACTAGATTTTTTCTTTTTCTTTGACTTTTTCTTATGTTTTTTTGATTTTGTAGGTTTAGGAGAACTTTTAATGGGGTTTGATTCACAGCTGATAGCAGATGAAGAAATATTTTCTTCCGCATCTTCAGCATTTTCATTAATACTGTATGGCAGACAATTCTCTTGTATCTTCTGAAAAGAAAATTCACAGATTTTCAATTCATAATTCAAAGTGCATCTTATTCTGTAAAATAAAATTTACATATTCATTTACTTTAAAAAAAATCACAATTTAAAAGCTGCAAGTATATTAAAATGGTATTCAGTTTTTCAAAACTTTTTTTTAATTTTATTTTTTATGTACTCGGTATAAGCTATAGACATAAAAATACAGACAGAAATTAAGTAAAAATTTATCTTAGATTGAAATTCATTACAGAAGAAAACTGTGACTTTCAAAGAAAACAAGGTAATGCATCTTTCTTCAAAAAGCAAAAATATTCTGGGCCTCAGACTAGAAGTACATACTGCAATCTCTTTAATGGTGTTAAATCCAGTCTAATTAAAAAGTATTTTAATAAAACTTTGCATCATGGTTTTTCAGTCTTTTAATTTCTATTTTGATAGATACATTATATTATGCTATCTGTTTAAATGATATAATGCACAAAATATTTTTGGTCTTTATGAAGAGGAACCTCAACCTATTAATCTTGAAATTGATAGATGTTTGCTACAAAAGAATACGAATCTAAAGTTAATTTTTGCTCAGTTTATAATTTTAATACTTATCTGCTTCCCTTCCATATAAGACATAAACTGTAAATTTTCTTTTGTATTTTAAAATATCTATCTATTTTTATGTTTCAAATAAATACATAGTTTGGATCAGTCTTCTACATTACAATTTTTAAACTGTTTATTTTATTTTTTAATTAACATATTTAAACTAAGACTTAAAAATTCTAGTTTTACATGAAATATTTAAATTTAAAAAAAAAGAATGTACAAATGATAATATGCTACAATATTATATAACTGATAATGAGCATATGCACATTTTGCCTTCAAATTTAAATAAGAATTTTCTCTCTACCTCCCCCCCAAAAAAAAAGAAATTCTGAAAAATCTATTAGCATATTTCAGATTTGAAGAAATCAAAACTGTTTATCAACTTGTCTTTAAAAATTTAAATATTCATCCAAAAATTTTAAGAAAATAAAGCCCTATTAGGACAAGAAAAGTACCATACAAATAGCACAGATAGAAAATATGCAGATATCAAATATAAGATAAATTCAGTTAATGCTAGGAAAATTTTATATACCATATAGGGGGAAAATATTCATTATACTTCAATCAGCTAGAAAAATGGATGCATTATTCCTATAAGTAAATTATTCCTTGTACAGAACATATGTAATAGAATTAGAAATATCCTTTTTAATTATGTTTGTGATAAATTGTAGCTGGAAGTAAATTAAGTCCGAGATCCGGTATACATCCTGTACTTGCAAATATACTGGATCTGTATTTGCATGATTAACTTTTTATATAAATATTTACCAAGTTACCCAATTCTCAATATTTGTCAGGTTTATCTTTAACCAGATTGTACTCAGTCATATTTTATAATTTAATGAAAAATTGGTACTTTCTGATTATCTGCCCACGTCTGAAAAAACTTCACCAGGCAATGCACTATGTGGCCAAAATACGTAACCCATAATGTTGGCAAAATGTAGTTATGTGTCAACCCAAGTAAGCGTGTGTGCACAGCACGCGAGCTGTGCTTTTGACCTTGAATTTGAATGCCATTACTGTTTGTTCTTGCCTTGAGTAAGCATATTTTCTTGTAAAGAATCAGAATGAGAGTATGGAATTTACTGACCAATGAAAAAGAAAACATTCCATTTTTTTCCAAAATACACATAGACCCCGATTAACGTAGGGTATACGTTCCATCGAAGTAGAGCGTAATGCGAAACAGTACTAAGCGAGGCTATCTTAACATGTAAATAATGGGGTTAGGGGAAGACGGATAAAAAATGGTTAGGCATTAAATTTAATAATTTTTTTTAATAAAAATAAAATAAACATTTATTTCTTACAAAATAAAAAAAAACAATATAAACGCATATACTTTTAAAAAACAAATAAAATTCTCAGTCAGATCATTCAGTCTATTCTGGGTTTCCAATTTTCTGCCTTTTTGTTAAGAAGGCATTATGATAGATTGGCTTAATGGCATATTGCGTTCAATTTCGTCGTCAATCCATATAGACAGTCGTTTTCCCATTTCCTCTATAATGTTATTTCTAGAACAGGTAATTCTAGTTGCAGAGCTTGACGTAGTTGCAGTTGCCGATGACAGTTATTTTTTTTATTCTTAAGAATTGTCCTTATTGTTGAAGTTGCCAAAATCAATGCAGCGCTAATTTGAGATTGACGTTCACCAGAATCTAATCTTCTAATCACTTGCATTTGAGTTTCCAGTGTGAAATGCTTTTTTCTGGTTGCTTTCTTTTCTTGTTTTTTATTATCACCCATGATAAAAACTAAAGATCATAATATTTGTCACTGTATTAATCGTTATAGTATTATACAAATTTAAACTTACAATAAAGTCAACAAATGTTTCAAATGATAAAAATGCGTCCACCAAGCAAGAAACACAACTACACTGTTTCGGATATGTTATTTGGAAACCTAGCACTGCGCACAATTTCGGAGAATCCCCGGGTTGAAATAAAAGAGCGCTAAACCGAAACAGCGCTAAATGAAACAGCGTTAAACAGCGCTAAATGAAACAGCGTTAAGCAGCTTGCTGTATGGCATTTTGTTCAACAATTATAGAACACTTAGATCCGTTTTAGATCAAATTTTATTGACCAAAATGTGTGCTGAATGTCAGATGTTTTTTAAGCGAAAACAGACTGCTAAGTATATGGGAAAAACAAAAGCATGAGCAATGTTAAATTTGAGCAATTTGCTGATTTTAAGTGAAAACATTGCTGCACATATGCAGGGAAAATAATAAATGCAGTGCCAAATTGTCAGCAATTCTCTGATTTTTTTTTTATGCTGACAGATTGCTGTGTACATGGGAGATCAAAGCCAAAAAATAAATAAATAAATAAATAAATAAAAATAAAAATAATAATAAATAAATAATTGTTTTATCATTGATAAGTCTTGCTTTTTAAATGTTGTTAATTTGCTGCTGTTTTGTTCCATTTTTGAGCTGTTTTAGAGTGAAATAAGCATGCTGATTTCAAACCTGTAGTTAGTTTTCTTCTACCAAGTTTTTTTCTCTACATCTTACATAAATGTGACCACTCTGTGGCAACGGACGTGGATCATAGGACCGTTGGTATACCTATGATTTGGCAACACTCCAAAGATCACTCAAGTGATGGTTACTTTTGTGTAGTGAAAATGTCATAGTATAACAAGAAAAACAAATGTAAAATACAGTATCGTAGTTTATCATCAGCTACATGCCAAGTACCCCATTCAGCTGAAATCCCAGAGACAGTTTTCAAAGAATTACCTTCTTTGGAAATACAAAAAGACGATTCTCGTGAATATTGAATTGACTCCAATGACAAATGAAACAGAGGATGATTCCGTTCGTAAGGAATTCGTCCAACCTCAGTTCAATGATTTGGCATGAGATTTGGGACTACCTAAAAAAGCTGCAAAGCTCTTAACATGGAGACTGCACAAGAAAAACTTACTTGAAAAAGGAGCTAAGGTATCCTACTTTCAATCAAGAAAAAATGCATTTATGCAGTATTTTCAAAGTAATGATGGATTTGTATATTGCTATAATGTAAATGGTTTAATGGAAAAGTTGTAATTTCAGCCTATAACACAACTCTGTGGTAACTGTGGCCAGTGTGTTTGATAGCCTACGAATTTGGCATCCTCTTTAAAGATGAACAATTCATCAGAACAATGACAGAGCATCAAAAGAATGCTTGGTTGGTATTCAAAAACATTGTCAAAGACTTTCTTGGAAATACACGAGTACAGCATTACAGCTAAATTGTCCAGCAAATTTTGGAAAGCTCCGAAATGCTTGGTTGCAACATGAGCATCAAATTGCATCTTTTATGTAGCCATTCTGATAACCCCCCAAAAAATCTTGGTGCAGTGATGAGCAGGGTGAGTGATTCCTCCACGATCTGAAGGTCATGGACAAACAGTACTATGGTAGACAGGATGTACTATGGTAGACTGTAATGGCTGACTATTGTAAGAACATCAAACGAGAATGTCCACAGATTAAACATTCCAGAATAAAGGCACGTTTCGACTACTGCATATGAACGCGTTGCGTCAATTGAAGACAGGCCTATGGCATCCGTACAAACGTTTCCACTGCCGCGTATCCATAGATTATTTTCATTTTCCGCCGCTAGGTGTTACTGTAACATTTTGGTGCCAAACAACCAGTTCGCGAGTTACGACGCTGAACATCTGAATTTTTCCCACTTAAGTGAGTATTATTTTGGATTTGATATGGATCCTGACGTAGAACGCAGAAAGATTTTGTTTACTAAATTCCATGTTATTCAAAATTTTTATTTCTGCTTATGAACTGCGAAAGTAAAGTATGCTAGCAATTTTTAGATAAATGAGGTTATAATGCATATTATGAACATCACTAATTGTATAGAAGCTGAAGTAAATTTTAAAGAATTTCTTTGCATTTCTAGAAGCCTTAAATGTAAATGAAATAATATATATATTATTAAAACTAAAAAGTTTGGTTACTGAAAAAATAAACAAATAAATAAATTAAACAAAAAAGTTAAAATGAATTAAAAAATAGTTGGTACTTTAAAAATACAGAGCAACTGTAAAGGCTCACAATATTTACCCAAAATTTGCTATGCTTGTATACCGCTGACTTCAGAGTCATAGCTGGATAACTTATTAGAAATCTCGTTTGTTTTAAAATGCACTATGGGCAGTTATATTTTATGCATAATCCATAAAATATTATTTTTAATTTAAAAATTTTTAATTCATATCTCTTTTTATAGAAAAAAGTTATAAAAATAAGTTTTTTCTCTTTATATATACATACATTAGGTATAGAAAATGAAAATATTTAATTAATTCCTGCGCTTTTTGCTGGAAGAGGACTGAATTTAAAGCAATTATTATAGTAAGTTTTGTTA